CATCTATCAATAATCAAGTTTTACACACAGTCTGTATTGCCGTGCGACAATGACTGACCTGTTGTAAAACAGGTTTAATTACAGTTAAATAAAACGACTTATGTAAGCCTGACACAGCTGGAAGATCTTGTGTAAAATATACTTTGCACTCTCGCAGAAAGTCTGAGTTTTCATTCCAGCCTGACATAATTAAAAATGATTTGCATATCAAAAATTATATGAGTCTTTCACTTCAGAACAAACCTGTATTTTTCCAACATCTCTGGCGCAGCCCATCACTTTCATACCGAGTCGGACCAGCTCTACGGCTAAAGTCGCCCCAATGCCGACCGAGGCTCCGGTCACCAGAGCTACTCTGCCCCGCCAGCGCTCCATCACAGCTTTGACACCTGCTACACGCAAGAAAGAACCACAAGTATGAAGAGAGGGACGCTGGGTCTCCAGGATAGTCGCCCTTGAGCTCAAACTGTCGTTTAAAGTGAGCCATCTCTCTCTCTCTATATATATATTACAGAAAGATGTTGCAAGTCTTGGTGCAGCCTTCACGTCAATGAATGGAAAGCAGTGATTGATTAAACACTTGTTATTCGCTGCACCAAACAGAGATCTTATCTCAAGTTTCCATGTCATATTTGTTTTAGCACTCCCCGCACAGTTCTTTGCACCATGCACTGCCACAATAACATCTACAGAGTAAGTTAGACCTGTTGCTTCACTTTAATGTGCAATAAATCCATCCAACAAGACTTGCATTGTAAAGTTGAACACATAAATGCTGTTTTAACATAATAACGTAGTTTTAAACTGGAATAAACCTGGTCATTTATAAACCAATTGTGAACAGTGAACTTTTCATATTTACAAAAATGGATGATAAATTGTAAATAATTGGTTTTTTCATTTCTTTGCAGCAAGACAAACTAATTGCCCACCCAGTCTCTCTCTCATGTCAGCGTGACACAGCAGAAAAAAACTCCATCATCGCGACAGCATTAGCAGTAGTAGAAGTAGTAGCAGTATTTAATCCGTCATTTAAATATATTGTCTTTGAGAACGAGATCTCTTTTTGAATACACAAAGACATGTACAGTTTAAGAGTAGACTGGTAAACAGACACACATTATTCAAACACACATTATTTATGCTCTTAAATTCAGAAAAACTTCACTTTACTTTTTAATATGTTTGTGGCAAATCAGTCTCTGTTTAATTTGGTCATCCATGCGCCTTTCCTGCTTAAATCAGCACAGAATGAGAGAGAGATGAGGCACTGAAGGAACTCTGAATTGATATCTATTCAACAGTGAAGATGGTGGTAGAAGTTTATCTTTCAACCATTTTTTCCTCTTCAATCAGATTCCACTGGTGATTCTATACATGCAGCTCCTATGACCAGTACAATTAACTTTAATTTAGATACTGCTTCAAAATAATTGCCCAAATAAGTAACCAGAAGTTTTGCAAGGATGGATGCCAAGTTGTGAGAGTCACTTCTTCAAGACCTTTGGCGTCATACATAACTGTAGCAGTTATTTGCTCTACCTGTGGGTTCATCTCATTATACAAAACAGCCCACCAACAGAATTTGCTATGCACACTATATAAACTTGATACTGTGTTCTCCATAAAGACTGCCTAGTAGGTAAATTTTCCACAATAACTCAAATGCTAGTCCCTGAAAACTTCACAGGCTGACAACAGCTCTTCATCTTTGGTCTGTTTGTGTCAGCATAACTGCCCCTTCACCTAGTACATAAAGGGGGAAAGGTTAATAACTAATAAACAATAGGTGTGTTAGTCATTTTATCTGGTATTGCTCCCTGCAGCTGAGTTTGTAACTACACCGCTCTGTGATAAGATCTGGTAAGTTAATCTCATTTGGTGTTAATTAACAACAGGTGCACTAGAGCGGCAATGGTGAAACAACCCGTGAATTATGGGGTTTCTGTTCAGGGAAACCTTTTGTGGTCGCAAATTTTGAAGCCATCATGATAACCTTCTCCCACCAACGATGTGGAGATCCAACCCTTTTAGATCCAATTAAAATCAAGACACTCAAACAGATGCTCTGGAAAAGAGTAGAATTCTTGGAACAGAGTTTAATACACTGAATCATATAAACAGCAGGAAAAATACATACAGACATTTAGCAAGAGAATTACAAAGCAGAAAACAAGCAAAGCACAGACAGTAGAGCAACACAGAGCCGGACAGAGAGAAAC